TAGTAAAACTAGAGGTTTATAAATCTTAACGTGTGCGTATCACAATATACAAATTTTTTATTCACTTATGCTTTTTAGAAAATTACTCTTCTGAATATGGACGGTTTTGAAATCCCATCTAACTAAGAAAAATCTCCAACTATTTACCAAAGGTAAGATAAACATCTCTATCTATCAGGACATCTTATATAATAAATATGAGTTTTCTCCCTTCTCATGCTGCAAGAGAGTATGGGATGTTTTTGGACAGCTATCATCACTCTATTAAATGAGAACATTCACATATCGAAGAGATGAGCAGCAAATCTGAGTTCAATCTAGAACAAAAAAACCCAATATTCACACCAAAAATTAGAAAGATAACCATTAGTTGATGAAGCCCAATTTCAGTCCATTAAATTCGTAGTCCACTCAGGGTAATCTTCATCTTGGCTGACTTTCCTCTCCTCAAATTCCATGTTTCCACAAAGTATAAAATAACCATTGTCTAGTGTTTTGCTTAAGAAACGTTATTTTTGCAAACGAACATCATTGAAACGTTCTCTTCACCTTTTACCATTACCTCTCTCTCCTTTAATCTCTCCCACTAGGATTAATTTATTATCTCCTTCCCACACCTCCACATGAAATCCCTAATTTCTGAGACTATAAATATTGTTGCAGAATTTTCCAAATCTCACTTCTCTCAAGATTCGAACGTATTGCTTTCTTACAATACATCCTGCAACTATGGTATCGTCTCAGTTGATTCTCTCTGATGTTAGGTCTGGTCATTTTATTCATATTGTTGTTACGCGTCTTCTGTAATTCAGGGAAGCACGGAACGTGAAAGTGCTAGAGCTGTCAAACTTTATCATCCTCATCATGGACAAACAGGTATATGACTGCTTTTCCCCAATTTCTCTTCCATCTAAGCCTAAAGCAATCTCCTTAACCACTGGCTGATTGAGAATTATCAGATAGATCTATAATGTCTCAAAGATGTACTTTGGTTTCTATAGAGGAGGTGGCGTCTTTCCTCATGTAAATAAATGTGGCTGTCTGACTTTTATGTTTTTGGTCACATACGCTTTTAACTACAAGCTGTGATAGTGCAATAGTCTAAATGCCTTTAGATCTTAACATGGTTACCTAATAATTCATGTGAAAAGAGCCAATAACAGATTAGTTCTGAGGCCACACCAACAATGTTGAGATGCCTTATGTACAATCTCTACTACCACAGATACTAAGATTTCATGTAAGTGTAAACCTTGAACCCTATTTCCAAGCTCAGTATTATATTTATGGCTCTAGGTTTCTTAAGAAAAAATGGTGAAGGCTATGATCGGGTCAAGTGGACAAAGATTGGGAACAAAACATTTTCAAGCACATATTTCGAAGAGGTACGAGTTCAGTCCCTTATCGCAAACAAGTGGTGCATTGGTTTCATTTCGATTTTTATAAATGTGACTACTTTCGTCATCAGGTTTTTACGAGTGTCACCCTTGGTTCGGAAATACAAGCTGAAACCTCAAAAGAAAAAGATTTAAGTATTAATTGGTACACGACTGAGAGATAATGAATTTGGACGCTAAGCGACTAATGATATTTTTTTGGGATGATATTAGTTAATTTAGGTTCTGTTCCCAAAAAATAAGCTTGGAATGGAGCTCAAAATCACGGAAGAATGATTCTTGCATCTACAAATCCTACAAGGTCGGATAGTTAGTTCTATGTTAACTCTTTAGGACTCTCTTTATCTTTGAGGAAGTTGTATTGAGCTCAGCCAAGTGTTTGGTGTACATCAGTGATAATGTTATTATAGTTGTTTCTGAAGTTATTTCTAATACTAATTGTCGCCGAGTTTTATAGTTCAACTATGCTGTGTTCTTTGCTTATATGAGTTTGAGGGAGAACATTAACCTAATGAGGATATGTGAATGTGTTGCATATATCCAGAGGTCAGGATTCACAGCAGTGTTGTCTACATGTTCTGAGTTTGACGAAGAGTGAAGAACATAACAAAAAGTGTAGTGTCTGAAAAATGGAGATAAGAACTCATTTTGTTGCTGTTAGTTTTCTACTTGGTCCCGGCCCTTAACCAGGGAATCTGTTATACATTCGCTGTTATGACAGATGAGTGTGTGTATGAAGATATACAAATAGGATTTCTCCCATTTGTTTATCCCTGGTTCTTAGCGTGTAAAATTTTCAGTACTCTTATTATAATTTGAGAAGCAAATATCTTAAATTTTATAAACAGTTACATCTTACTTAATAAAAACCCGGTAATCTATAAAACCTCCATACCACATTATAAATGATTAGTTCTTTAGAATGTCTCACAAAGAAAAGTCTGTTGCTGAGATAAATAGGAAGCATGTTACATCACTTGGTTCATGTTTTCCACGCACAAAAAAAAACAGTTACAACTCTTTAAATCAACAATGTTTAAATCACCATACTCTAATAGTTAAATAATATATTTTACACATTTAATTTTCAATTTATTGTAAGTCAAATAAGAATAATTATTATTATTTCTTTAATATATTTGGTTATTAATTAAATTATATAGATTCATGTATATTTTTATTTTTATTTTGGTACAATGAGATATATTTTGGAATATTAATATATTTATATGTAGCATTAAACTATGAAAATTTAAAATGACACTACAATATTTAAAAACATTAAATAAACCTCACTGAGAAAAAAAACAAACAAAAAAATTCCTTATATGTATACATTTTATATTTATAACAATTTATTTATCATTTTAATAGAAATATAAATAAATATTTTTATGATTTCATAGTTAAATTCTACGTTATTATTTTACTAAATAAAATAATTTGGTTTTAGTAAAAACATATCAGTTTCTCCTTTTCGACCACACCAAAATGTTAGTATATACAAATTTTAGCAAAAAAAAATGTTAATATAGAGCACGTTCGGACGATGGCTACATAAAAGCAACACCCAGATCATCTTTTATCATCATATTTCGACATTTTCAACATATCATCCTTTTTCTCTGACAACTGCAAGCTACTATAACTAATTACATATTTTAACACACAAAACATCGACAAACATGATGAATCTCTTTCTTAACATAACAAAGTAAAAAAAAATGATTACAAAACAATATATTTTAATATAAAATAGTTGCAATATTGTGTTCAAAGAAAAAAAATTGTAATATAAAATCAGCCGCACGTTCGGCGGCTAATCCCTAGTATAATACAAAATAAAGAGAATGATATTTATGCAATTGAGAGGGTAATCATTGGAAATACCCTTACAAGATAGGATAATATGGAGAACGTGTAACAGCCCATACCGACCCCGGTTGGATTATAAATGGTTAGGCAGTAGGTTTTATTTATCAGATCAATCAGCTATGTGCTTGGAAAACAATGACCTGCTTTAGAAAATAATTTACATGTGATCTACAAATGTATTATGCAATTATTTGGCAAAATCAAGATTTTCTAATATTCTAAAACTTAAATATGTGTTAACTAATAATATATTCCATATAATTATATGTTTGAAGAAATTAAATTTCTGAATATGGTAATTTAAGTTTTGAATGTATATTTTGTTGCTCCATATTAAAAAAGTGAACATTAATGTTCAGAGAAACTTTATCATTTATAATATATCTGGTCTTTCATAATTAATATATCTTTATCATAATAATTTATCATGGTCATGACGCGATCCAACCTAGTTGTATGATTATTTTATACTAGGATCGGTCCGCCCTATGGGCAGGAAATTATAATGAAAAATATTTATATAATTTAATATTAATTTACGTAGCATTCAAAATCATTATAGAAAATAATATTATAGACAAAAAATAATAAAAAGAATTCTTAGATCCTATTATTCTTTTAATAAATAAGTTTGGCTTGAATTAAAATGACAGTAATTAACCGTCATTATTCTCTATTTTTAGAGACTACAAATTAACAATAAATAATTCATAAAATGTAATAGTATATATACTATTAGTTTTTTTTATATTTCAATTTGACATAGTAGACAATAAATAATACTAAATTTATTTCAAGAAGATTTAAGTTTTAAAACACTTTACACATTATTTCTTTCAATGATAATAAATTAGTTTACCTCCAAGCTAAGTCATTTAAAATATAATTGATAAAATAATCAAATCTCAATTTTAAAACACTATATAGTTTAATAATATCATAAATAAAAATTAATATTTTCTAATTTGACAGGAAAATGATGTTTTCGAATATATTTGTTTCAGATCATAATTATATATTGAATGGAATATTAATGAAAATTTTGCGTTTTGCTTATTATGTTTTATAACTTATTATAGCCATTGTTGAATCTGTGTGGTAACAAAATTATTATTTATGAAATTTTCACATGCTAATTTAAAAAAATGTTAACGTATTGTAAAATAGTACATCTAAAAATTTAATTTTATAAATTAATAAAATACTATAGTTTTAATATTATTAAATTATAAATATTTTAGTGTAATAAAAATCTTCGTGATTATGTATTGGAATTGTCATGTAGATGCTGATATACTATGGAAATAGAGCGTACAATCATCGATGAATGAAGAAGTCCCCTCATATAAGTGCTGCTGATGAACACAGCATATTAACATCGTTTCAGTTGCATTCGTAGAGGTGTCTCTTCCAAATATGAATAGTGATAGTCATGGTAAAAATTGATCCATATAAATGGAAAATGGGATGCATTGTTTTTTTTTTTTTTTGAAAAGGGTGCTTTGTTACATGGAGTGTAATGTCGACACCGAACTGCAGCGAGCAGTCAAAAAGGATACAACAGCGGAGAGGAGAGATGGTGTAAGGCTCCGTTCTGATGTTTACACGTTGATGCACGGCGGAGAAGTGACTCCTCGACCGGGAGTGGAGAGGAGAGGCGAAGCAGAAAAGGAGATCTGATCAATGTTCTGCAGACGTACACGTACTGAGTAGATCCGGCCAAAAGACTCACAGCTCTGTTATAACGGTTTGCGGTAAGAGAAGAGGCGGAGGAGCAGTGGAATGTAGTTTATAAAGCTCGGTGACTGAAGATGTTGGGGGGCGTGATGGATAGAGGAGCTCCGCAAGAAATCTTTCAGCCGAGAGATGCTCAACAGAGGTTGAGTGATGAAGAAAAAAATGGTTTTTGTTACTAATATACACAGCAGTAATTACAATTCGTTGCAGACCTAAAACCCACTAAGCCAGTAACCGAATCTGGGAGTTTAAGTACTGGTAATGTGCAAAAGATACTAACTAATGGCATTTTGCAACAGCCTGGCTAATCTGTTCAAAAGTTTCGGTATGCATTCCGGTCAAGCGCCTGAGCTCAGTTTCTTTCGAGCTTTAAGACGTAGGCTGAATCCAATAGCTACTCTCTTCACAGGCTGCAACACATCCACCACCAACCTAAGTTACTTAGAAAATTCTACTCAACATATATTACATTGGCAATCTCATCATGATTCTTCAAATAGTCTATGATCAATTAAGGATGTTAACAGTGGGTAATTAGGGAGGATCAGATCAACCTACCTTCTAGTTCCAAATGCTACATCTTTTCAACGACACCATTGCCTTATCTAAACCTAAAGATGCATCCTTTATATGGCTTCAAGATTGTAATCGAATAAATTTTAAATTAAAACCTGATACAAACCTTAGCAACTTGAATGTTGATGGAGTCTGGGATTTCTCTTTGAAGCAACACAACAACATCATTCTGCACGATCTCAAGCCTCATAAATTCATTATAATTCCCGAGAAAAGAAATGTACCTTCGATATCAGTGCACGACATCAACAGCTGAATGAACAATATGCTTCAGATCTAGATATCAACACAAAAAGTCATAAAAAGCATTAATAAAACTAATTCAAATGATATAAAGTAAGCCAAAAAACATTTTTTTTCTTTTTTGTGCGACAGCCATAACAAACACTCACCACAGCTTTTCCAATAATGGGAAGACAAAGCGTGCTGGCTTTCAAGACTTCAATGATTTCTGTCCAGAAGACACCATGCTTCTATAACCCATCTACAAATCCAATACGATAATGTCATTAGTATAAACATAGCATCTACAAACACAATTTTACGAAATCACAGGATACTTCACATCACACTTGTGAGATTGATATCGATGCATTCCAGAAGTAAGGACTTATATAGCCTGTTTAGGTTAAGAAAAGAGATAAGGATCATTGAATGATTGATAGTTAATGGCGGTGAATAAATGCAACTTGTAACGGTTCGGGGAAGGGAATAAGCGATCACCAAACGACACGACTAAGATCGCTGCATGGATTACTTACAAAGACTCATCTCCGCTATTCTAACCTCCATTGTTTGTAGATGTAAACAGATTTTGGAGAGGACAATGAACCCTAGAAAGCTTCTCAGTCGTAGGTGCAGGCAAACAACGGGCGAAGCTTTAGTTTCGTTCTCAGGCCAAAACCAATTATTTAAAGCCCACAAACAATACAATCATGTAAGCCCATACGAAAACCAAAAGAAAACAGAAACCTGTTTAATGAAACAAGTGTCGTCTTCCCTCTTCACTATTTTCTGACGTGGCCTTGCAAGAGGGAATCAAAATTTACTTTATATAATTAGATTATTAATATTTACCATCATTAGCTTTTTTATTTATTTACCATAATTAGATTATTAATATTTATTGATTTTTACATAAAATATATTACAAGATTCTCTAATTTCTCTAGTCTTTTCACCTACTTAAAATTTAGACATATAAAAAATAAGGTTAAATTAAAATTTTGCAATCTATGTCCCCTACTATGTTTTCCTTTTCATTGTGTAAATGCTGTTTTAGTATTATATGTATCAAGTGTAAAATTATTTTTCTCTTAAGAATTAAATAAAATTTTTTTTTTGACAACAACATGAAACTAAACTATCATATATGCACTATCAGCTCGTAGAACCAAACCGGTGGCATTGAGTTGACATAAAACATAGCAGAAGGGAAACATCTAGCACCACATGCAAGCTTTTCCGCCACTAAATTATGCGCCCTCGGAATATGTTGAATCTTGAAGGTAGGGAAGAAAGTCTTACTTCATCAGAATTCTTCCATATGTGTAGCAAAAGCTAGCCATTCTTCGGATGATGACACCATCTTCACCAATTGACAAAAGTCTGTTGCAAAAATTACGTCTGAGAAATTAAGAATCTTCATGCACTATATAAGCATTATCAAAGGCTCACATTCTGCATGTAAAGCGGATAAACTTTTTCGGAGATTCATTGTCCCCCTCATCTTCTCTTCAGTCCCATTAGTTCTACAATATAGTGATGTTTAGTGATGTTTCATTCTTTATTTTTTGTTTCTTGAAAAGAAATGAATTTTTTTTATTATTTTGATTATATAGTTCTTAAGAAGTGAAAGAAAATTATAGTTATGTTTACTGCACATCATCTCTGATTTATTTTAGATCTCATATAACTTTGGACCATAATTCTGAACCTAGAACTAATATAGGTCCGATGACAAAAAGAATTAAAAACCTAATACATGTCAAATAAGATGATTTCACAGAAATAAATCAAAAGATATATTAGTGAAATGTAAAAGTAATATAAATAGAGTAATATAGAATAAGTAAAGAATAAAGAAAAAAAAGGCGTGATTTATATTTACTTTGGTTGTTCAATTCCGGTCTAATTACTTAAAGCACCTCAAGTTTAAATAATAAAATAGTCTTTGTTATAGAAAAAAGTTTAAGGAAAAAATATTAATAACTATATTGTTGCTTTTCTTTTTAGTTTTTTTTTGCAGAAGTATATTGTTGCTTTGGGTTTCTCTTTAATGAAAGCACGCAAAGTAATACCATAAAACAAGAAAAGACAAAACATTTGAGTAAGATTTGGGTTTCCATTGTTTCACATTGATAAAACTTAGAAGTAATTAGAGACGTGAACAGGAAAAAAAGAAGTAATTAGAGTAACACTCTTTTACTCTAATATATACTTTTACTCTTAACAACTAGTCAGTCGAACAGTAAGAAGAAGAAAACATGACGAGTCTAGTTGTCCAAAAAAAAAAAAATTTGACGAGTCTAATATTAAATTCATTAAAAAAAAACATGACAGAAAATATCGACCGTCAATTAAACAAATGGGTCGAGAAGAGATGTCGTCCAAAGACACGTTCAAGGTACACGACGACAAACAAAACACTTGATAACCGGGGGACCCACTTACTGGGCTATGTTCAAAGGCAATCTCAGCCGTCGATTCATAGCAACTGGATGAAACGTACGCACCAAAACGTCCTTCTCCCCAAAATGAGCCTCAGGATTGAAGCATATTCTCGGAGAATGCCATTGCCCACTCTCATGTGATGGAAATCGAATCCATAAGCAACTCAACTACTGTAATAACGCCACGTGTCAAATTTTGTCAGTCCAGAGCTTCCACTCCTCTTTACATAAACGGACCTCCTTCCTCTTCGTTTTCTCCTCACCTCTCTCTGATCACATTAGCTTCAGACCCTGAGCTCTAAGTCTCTTTAGTTGCTGGTGAAATCTGTAAGTTTTCTCGAAGACACATCTCAAAATTTTTATTTTTCTGCGATTTAGGAGTTTTTTCGTGTTGCAATGTTTAGGTGAAAGGGTCTCTCTCTCACCATGGCATCGGTGACAGCTTCCCATTTTGTCCCACTTGTCAACAACCATGGAAGAGCTTCAGGCTCTGAGGCCAACGCTAATCTCTCTCAGATCAACTTCAAGTGTCAATCCATGACTCACTGTGGGCTAAGGTCCTTCAACATGGTTGATAGGCTTCAGAGGGGGTCTCAAGCTAAAGCTGTTTCTGCTAAATCCTCAAAGGGATTGCAGCAGAAGGCTCCTAAAGCTAAACCTGCGTGTAAGATTGTGTGTGAGAAAGGCATGTCTATGATCTTTATTGGTGCTGAAGTTGGCCCATGGAGCAAAACCGGTGGCCTTGGTGATGTCTTAGGTGGTCTGCCTCCAGCTCTCGCCGTAAGTTCAATAATATACATTAGCTTGCCTTTTTCGTTTTTGATGGAACATAATGTTAATTGCTTTTGTTAGGCAAGGGGGCACCGTGTGATGACAGTATGCCCTAGGTATGACCAATATAAAGATGCTTGGGACACTTGTGTAGTTGTTCAGGTACATTGTTACTCTATACATACCTACATTCAAGAAACAATCTAGCATCTTGTAATAATGTTATCTGCCGATATGATGTAGATAAAAGTTGGGGATAAAGTTGAGGACGTGCGTTTCTTTCACTGCTACAAACGAGGAGTTGATCGTGTCTTTGTCGACCATCCACTCTTCCTTGCAAAGGTTTTGTTTTTCTTGTATACCTAATCAACAAGATCATTCACGTGTGACGTGTCTTGTACTATGGATCTTCTCATATGGAGGAATACTATAACGTAGGTTGTGGGCAAAACTGGATCCAAGATCTATGGCCCTATAACTGGAGTAGACTACACTGACAACCAACTCCGGTTTAGTTTGTTGTGTCAGGTAACAATCTCTGACGCTTGTGTTGGGCTTCTTCTTGGTTTGTTTTATGTTTCCAAACCGAGTTCCTTCCATCTTTATGAGACTAAATAAGCAATTAGTGGGAAATTAAAAGAGAATATAAGAGAATGGCCACGTCCCTTCCATCTTAGAGCCTTATTATTAAGCTACCCAATCATCTCAAATCTCACAACTTATTAAATTCCATTTGGCTCAAACGTGAAGCCCAAACAAAGTGTTTTCTTGGAGATGGCTACTTCAGAATCTGTGTGTCCATTGCAGCATAAGCAATAACTTGAAATACTTTTGATCGTTGACAGGCGGCTCTTGAGGCACCACGGGTTCTAAACCTGGACAGCAGCAAGTATTTCTCTGGACCATATGGTGAGACTGATTTTCGAATTCTGAAAAAAAGGGTCTTTAAACTCTGCATTCTGCATTCTGTAAAAAGCTTCTAAACCAATCTCTGATGTTGTCATAGGGGAAGATGTGGTTTTTGTTGCCAATGACTGGCACACTGCACTCCTTCCTTGTTACCTCAAGTCTATGTATCAGTCACGTGGAATCTACATGAATGCAAAGGTATTGAACTTTTGTTCCTTCGTTATGCTAGTTAGATACTTGGTTAAACAATCAAAAGACAGTAAGTGAACAACTCTGTTGTGGGATGATCTACAGGTTGTATTCTGCATTCACAACATAGCCTACCAAGGAAGATTTGCATTTGACGACTTTTCTCTTCTCAATTTGCCTGACAGCTTTAAGAGCTCTTTCGACTTCATGGACGGGTACTAATTCTGTTCTTACAAGAAAACATTCTCTGCCCCACGTTGCAGTAGTCCTTAGTTTGATCTGTGTTGTTCTTGTCTCAATGTACAGGTATGAAAAGCCAGTGAAAGGAAGGAAGATCAACTGGATGAAGGCTGCGATACTGGAAGCATGGCGTGTCTTAACAGTTAGTCCCTACTATGCTCAAGAACTTATCTCTGGGATCGATAGAGGCGTGGAACTGCATTCATACCTTCGAATGAAAACAGTTTCTGGAATTATTAACGGCATGGATGTTCAAGAATGGAACCCGGCTACTGACAAGTACATCGATATCAAATATGACATTACCACTGTAACAGAAGCTAAGCCATTGATCAAAGAAGCGCTTCAGGCTGCTGTTGGACTTCCAGTGGACAGGGATGTCCCTGTGATCGGCTTCATTGGGAGATTG